AGCTGGCTGGGGAATTCTGGGAGTTGAAGTCCACTCATCTTAAAGTGGCCAAGTTTGGACAACACTGGTCTAGGGTCAGCCTACCGTAAGACATACAGTAGGGTTGTTTTTGTGCTGGTGAAAGAAAATAAATTGAGGAAAAAGTGGTATTATGGACACCACCCTGGACTCCTGAGGAAAGGCAAGATATAAATTAAACCAAAGATAATGCTGTGCCCAAAAAGGCTGTGTTGCTTATTCTCGGAGCGTGATCAATTTACTCATGAGAGCTAGAGCAAGGAACAAATCAGGCGCAAGCAAGATTAAAGCACTCCACGTATTTCAAGCAAGGCATTGTAGAGAAGAAAAACCTTGACCACATACAGTACATTTACGTTCTGTATTTAATATGGTAATCTTCATACAGTAATAACCAACCAGATTTTATTTAGCCATTGCTGCTGAGTTTTCCAATTCTTTGCTACAATGGTCCTCACTGTGATTTACAACTAAAACATATTTTAGGCTCATTTCTTGTTCTAGAGTCCTTCATCTTTCCTGTGGTGTGATGAAGCCATTTTAAACCCTGGCTTTGTGGGGGATTTCTCTTTGAAGAGTAACATGGATTGTGTTGTTCATTTCTATCACACCTAGACTGCAAAAATCTGGATGACTGCAGGATGGCAACGAAGAATTAGAGTGTCCTGTATCTCTCTGCTGCCCGATCATGATTATCTAGATTTTTGCAGTCTAGATCTGCTGAACCCGGCTTCCAAATAGATAAGCCAACCTGCTTGTTTGCTCCGATGAAGCATCTAATTCCAGGTCCTGCTCTGAGAGCGCCACGACTGCCATCAACTTATAACTGAGGTGAGGACACTGAATTCTCCATCCCATGGAGAGCTTTCTTAACCTTGAAATCCAAGTAAGTTCTCCTTTCAGATCTCACTTCACAACCCAACAAGATTGGCTCTGAGAAGACAGTGTGTCCTTGTGTTCCATGGGATAATGTTAGAAATGTCATCCGGTCCTGATCTCATCAGAATTTGGGACAGAGATTAAGTCCTACGAATGTTTTGGACTTCCAATGCTCTTAAGGCCAGAGACAAGGACTTGTGAAAATTGGGCTTCAAACCTTCTGGAAAGTCACCAGTGGCTTCCCCCCTCAGTGTGTACAGCAGGGTGGTCTCCCTCATTGTAACGGTTCTAGAAGAACATCTGCCAGGGATGTATGTAATACTGAGTACTAGGGATAAGTCTAGGACATACACAGATGTCCAGGAGTGAGTTGTCAGATCTTTCCAAGTCTATAATTCTGTTGCAAAGACAAGTCCAGTTTGAAGTACCTTTGCTTTGAAAAGTCACTTCATGAGAACTTATCTCATGAAAAGTTCTCCATGGAGGCCCTCCAAACACATTAGGGAAGTCATTCCCAGTTAAGGATGCTTCTTGCAGGAACCTGGAGGCTCCTAGAAACCCATAGTGTAAAACAATCACTGTTAATATGGTATTGGCTTCCAGTCATCATTATGGGCTTTCAAAAGCACCCAGGCCTGCAGCAGGCTGATAAAAGGGTATAAATAAATAATTGCAGTGTAATGAGGTAGCTGGTAAATGTGGCTTTAACATCAGTCACTTGTAAAAGAGCATTTACTCTCAATGTCCCTCCTTTGATTTTTTCCCCCTCCTACTAAACACCTTTTCCCATCTCCGCACAGCTATTCGCTCGAACTGCCAATCATGGTCTAGTAACAAAATTCTCTTTCTGATCAATATTTCTTCACTTCAGATGTTACGATTGCCTTGAGCTGAAATGGCCCATGTGCTCCGAAACTACATGATGGAGAAGCCAAAGCAGGCCAGGGGAGGGGCAGAGGCTAACGCTGGCAAAATATTGAACCATTTCTGCATTAGCAGACGGGAAGTTGTGCACATATTGATCCGTTTCTTTCCTTTCCTTCCCCCACCCTTCCCTACAGGAACATTTCACGCCAGAATGCAAGTTCAAAGAATCCGTTTTTGAAAATTATTACGTCACTTACTCTTCCATGATCTACAGACAGCTGCAATCAGGAAGAGGCTGGTATCTGGGTCTTAACAAAGAGGGAGAAGTCATGAAAGGAAACCATGTTAAGAAAAACAAGCCTGCTGCGCATTTCCTCCCCAAACCACTAAAAGGTAAAACGGTTCCGATATCCTCAGCTACTTGCAGACCACCCATTTTGAATACGATGTGCAATTTTTTTCTCCTGCTGTTTTGTTCTCAGGATGCTTTAGAATTTCTTTTGCATTTCTTACAGGGGCTTTTGAAGCTTAGTTGATTGTTGCTGGCATTTGTCTTCTGCTGCATTAAGGCCCATTTATCTTTCGCTGTGGGGGTGCAATGTGGAGGGGGGGAGAGGGCACCGAATGGGGGCAGCATCTAGCATACATAGATGGAGCCAGGATTGTTGCCATTTTCCTAAAGTTTGGGAAGGAGCTGGCTTTGCAACTTATCCTCCATTGTTTGTCTGTTTCGTGGCTCAAAATGGCAAGAAAACAGACCACTGAATTTTGGCAACTCTGGTTGGAGGAGACGGGTTTGGGGTCTGGATGCAGCCTTGTTGCTTCAAGTTGTCCATCTGTGTCTTATATCTGCAGCTTCCCTGGTAGTTAGCTGTAAATAAATAAATACATAAATCCCACCACAAGCATGGCTCCTGACTTCGATCCCTATTTTGATATGGGCTTGGATTTTGCACTCATCTTTGTAATCTTCGCCTTGAAGGCTAATTAATTAGCAAAACTGCTTTGCAGTGACCTTTCTGGGCACATTTTCGTGCCCTCTGTCCTCTCTAAGGCCCTCAAGGTGATGTTTCCAAGTCTTCCCCCTCCCATTTGAACCTAGCCTCAACCCTTTGGGGAAGGTTAGGCTGAGAAACTACCACTCATCCAAGATCACTTGAATCGCCAGCCAGCTGAGGTTTCAGCCCCATTTTGTTCAGGAGCAATCTCTTGGAAGTGAATTCAAGGAGAAACCTGCTTCTGATTCTTCTCTGATTTTCCTTTCTCCTCCTTCCAACCAGTGGCCATGTACAAAGAACCCTCCCTCCACGATCTTACGGAGTTTTCACGGTCTGGCAGTGGAACCCCAACGAAAAGCAGAAGTGTCTCTGGAGCATTAAATGGTGGGAAATCTATGAGCCAAAATGAATCGACGTAGCCAGGATTGAGACGCTAGAGGAGAGATGACGCATCGGTGAACCTTACCTCTAGAATTGCTGTGGAACCCTTCTTTTGCACCTACCATTCAACCGTTCCTGACAAGCCAACAAACTGGGATAGGTCACTTGGCCTTTTTTCAGCTACTTTAGACTTTCTGGATGTCCCCAAATAACAATAAATGATTTGTGTCAAAGGAAAGTTCCCCAATGATGTAGAATGCGCTCGTGCAAACTCGCGGCATAGCCAGACAAACATTTAGCGGTGGCATAACGTTGCAGAGGAGCGATTCATCCCGCTCGCCTTCTCATTTACTTCTTACCCTTACCTATGCTCTGTGAAAAAAACACAAAATTTAAGAACACATTTTTGCTTTCCAACCGAGAGAGAAATCCAGTCAAAGATCACTTTTTTTTCCTTAGTTCTTTGAGGGAAATTTAAATGTCTCGTGTTTTATATATAACTTTGTTGGGGAGGGGGGAAGGGGGACAAAAAGAATCTGTACACCCTCTGCTTTTTTTTCAGCTTACCATTCAATATATCATAAGGCTTGGTAAGGAAAACGAATCCAAATATATCCTTTAAATTTGGAGCAGCATCACATATTTTTTTTTGGATCTCTTAACTTGAAGGGGTCTTCAGAGCTGTGTCTTTACAAGCAAAGCAAAATCATGCTAATATAATAGTGTAATCTTGAGGATAAATAAATAAATCAGGTTTGGAGCTGGATCTCAGTGGATCTCAAGCTCCAGCAAAAAAGTGTTCTTGTGATTTTAACACACTGAGATATATACAGTTTTTTATAGATTTGTAGTCATCCTTTCAAAGTCCTTGTGCTAACCCCAGTCTGTAGGAACCGAGCTGTTGTGTTCATCCCCAGTCTGAAGAAAATAATTATTTTTTTAAAACAGGGTGAATCAAGTTATTCCCACAATGTAGATTTCCTTCCCCCCGCCCCTCCTCTTCCCTCCACTCTTCTCTTAATTACATTTTGTGTATCATATTTAAAAACAAAAGCAAAACCTGTTGACATACCTTCTTTTTTCTAAAGACAGAAACTGTGGAACTAAAGTGACTTAACTACGTTTTTATAAGGGAAACCATGACATCTTATTTGTAAACATCTTTACTTCCCTGAAATTTGGGTGGTGAATAAACATCAAGGAAAGAATCAACACAGAATGGAGATGCAATCCAGCCTGTTCAGGTCCCTGGAGTTGAAGGAAGTGAGATGGTGGGAAATGTGTGGTGGTCTTTCCTTGAGAGAGGAGAAGCTGTTAAGAAAGGAAAGGGCTGGGGGATTTCATAGATGTTGATATGGGGTAGAAGGTGCAAGCGTCACCACATGGAACCTTTCCGAATACTTTTTTCTACTTGCAAGAGGCTGGAACTGTGTCTTTCCTTCTCTGTTTTTTAAAGCAAACAGAAGTAATGGAACCAGGGGAGGGAGAGAAAGTTAAGTTTCTGTTTAGTTCATCATATCTCTTGCATGAGAGGAAGTTGGATACTGGCTTCAGAAGTTGCATGACCTGTTTAAGATTTTGTGCATTGCTCTCTGTCAAAGATAATGTACAAAGCAGACACGGGCCAGGATGAGCTGTTTCCTGTCGCTTCGTACAAAGGAGATGTTTATTATTTATTGTATACAACCATGCACTGAATAAACTAATTTATATTAAGGTGTCCGTTCTAAAAAAAAGAAAAGAAAAGAATAACCACTGCCAAAGCAGAGCAACAAAATTGCTCGTGGATCGGTTCAGACCCAGAGCCTCTCGTCTGGAGGAACAGGAGATGCAAAATAACCTTGTGTGTTACAGAACTCCAGCCCCAAAGTTTCATGCCTTCTCAAGTGGACTGTGATTTGGGTCTTTTACAAAAGGGATCCTTTGAATGTAAGGAATCCATGGGCCTTTTGAGATGTTAATGGAAGAGCTGTAGGACAGGAGATCTGTGTACCAAAGTTCCATTCCCAGCATCTCCAGGTAGAACTGGAAAAGCTCCTACCAAAATCCTGGACAGCCACTTTGCCAGTCAGTGTCAATAACCCTGGGGGAAATGGAGCAATGGGCTCCTTCAGTTTAAGGCAGTCCTTAGGGAGAAAGCAGTTCCTCTGATGTGAATGAATGGCAGGTGGGAAAGCTCCAAAAAGGAAACTGCTCAAGATTTTTCATTCCAAATCCCCTAACTGGCGGTCATCTCCCCACCCTCAATCAGCTCAAGGAGATGTTTACATGACTATTTAAACCATATTCAGGGGTAGGCTGGAGAGCTATTAAGCGACAGTGATGCAGAATGGAGAGGCAGCCAAGTTCTTCCTCACCCTTGGCCTCCAACTTCCAAGAACATCTTCATGCAAGTGGGTTGGTCTCCCAGTGAGCCGCAACTTTTGCTGGTGAGGGCAAAATGCGGCCTTCTAGAAACAGAAGCCATGAGTCACATTTTGGGGGGATTGAGAAAGATTAATCACTTTTTTCTCTTGCCTTTGGAGGAAAAAAAAATCCTGCACCAGTCAAGATCAATATCTCATCAGAAGCCCGGCATATCTTTTGCGAAGGATGACTCACTTTCCTTTTCAGCCTCTAATATTCAGTTAAATTCATCATGTTTCCTCAATCAGCCTTCCCCAACGTAGATGTGTTAGGCCAGGGTGCCCATCATTCCCACCTAGCATGCTAACATTATTCTGGGAGTTGTAGTCCAGCCCTTCTGCAGGTGATTTGGGAAAAGGTTGAACTAAGACATCCCATCTCCTAAGCATGAAGAACTTCCTTTAAGAAATGACCGGGGGGGGGGGGGGGGG